TAATTGTCTTCCGATGGGGTTGAATGCTGCCCCTGCCACATTTCAAAGGTTGATGGAGCTGGTATTAACGGGGTTGCAGTGGGAGACATGTCTGATATATTTAGACGATATTATCATCTTCAGCCGCACATTTGACGAGCATTTACTGAGGTTGGAGGCTGTGTTCGGCAGGATGCGTTCCGCTAAATTGAAATTTAAGCCTAAGAAATGTCACCTACTGCAACGGTCCGTGCGCTATTTGGGGCATATCGTTAGTGCGGACGGGGTGGCCACGGATCCGGACAAGACAGCGTGCGTCCGGGACTGGCCAACCCCGGCCACGGTGGGGGATGTGCGTTGGTTTTTGGGGTTTGCCTCATATTATCGGAGATTTGTTCCGAATTTTGTGACGATCGCGAAGCCCTTGCACCTCCTTACGGGTAAAGGACGGAAATTTGCTTGGGGACTGCCAGAAGAGGCGGCGTTTCAGGGCCTGCGCGATCGGTTGGCTACGGCGCCGACGTTGGATTATCCAGATTTTGATCAACCCTTCATTCTGGATACGGACGCGAGTGACACGGGCATTGGGGCCGTGTTGTCTCAGTCCAAAGGTGGTGTGGAGCGCGTGGTGGCGTACGGTAGCCGGGTTTTGTCTCCCGCAGAAACCCGCTACTGCGTCACTCGCAGGGAACTTTTGGCTATTGTTTTCTTTCTCCGCCAATTTCGACCGTATCTTCACGGTCGTTCGTTTATTGTACGCACGGATCATGCGGCCTTGCAGTATACTCTCAAGATGGACCAACCGTCCGGCCAGTTGGCGCGGTGGTTGGACACGCTGCAAGAATTTTCCTTTCAAATTCACCATCGGAAGGGGGTGCATCACACGAATGCGGACGCGCTTTCTAGGTTGCCGCAGCGATCCCCTTGCGCGTGCGCGTCGGGGACGCATAGATGTGCGCCGATCCAGCATCCCCCTCAGCCTGTTGCGTTGGCGGTCGAGGTGCCTGAAGCTCCAATGGAGCCGGGACCGGCTGATGGGATTTTGAATCTTCCAAGGGCTGTGTGGATTCGGGAACAAATGTTGGACGATTCATTGGTGACCTTACGGGATCGGCCTGCGAAGGGGAGTGGGGGACCGGGTACGGGGGGTATGCCGAAACCGCTCTCCGTGATGGTCTGCTGATGTGGAGGGAAGGGGTACAGGAACGATGGCGTCTGGTTGTACCGGCATCCTTGCGGTACGAATTGATTAGGACTCTGCATTGCGATACACTTTTACATCTGGGGGTGCAGAAGACCCTATTGACGTTGCAGCGTCATTACTTTTGGCACGGCATGACAACAGATGTCGTCGGTCACGTTTGCGCGTGTCCTGATTGTGCCCGGCGAAAGCCGCCTAAACCCATATGTGCCGCCGATAAAGTCTATTCAGGTGTCTCGAGTTAATGAATTGGTAGCGTTGGATATTTTGGGACCCTTCCCGCCATCCGCTAAAGGTAATAAATACTTGCTGGTTGGGGTGGAGTACCTCTCCCGCTGGCTGATGGCCTGGCCCTTGCCCGACCAGTCAGCGGCGTCCATTACAGACGCCTTCCTATTTGGGTATGTTATGGACAAGGGGGCGCCTGAGAGGCTCCTCACAGACCAAGGCCGGAATTTTTCTTCTAAATTGTTGGGGGAAGTGTGTGCGGCTCTTGGAACTAAAAAGATACGGACATCTCCCTACCACCCACAAATGGATGGTATGGTCGAACGGCTAAATCGGACTTTGTCCGCCATGTTGTGTCACACAGTGAGTGAAAAACAATCAGATTGGGATTTGCATATCCCTGGGGTACTTTCGGCATACCAGATGACGCCGCATGCGGCTACAGGATATTCGCCGTTTTTCCTTATGTACGGTCACGAAAACGTGCTGCCTATGGATGTGCAGTTGGGAACTGGAGTGAGGGGACCTGCTAAGCCTCTTCCTGATTACATTCAGGACACCGTTCGCCGCGTCACTGAGCGCGGGAAGGGGCCCGCGTGGCTACGGCCAAAGCCCAGGCCCGGAACGAACGGTGCGCTCGACGCTCTAAGGGGGACTGCCCCTGGAAGGTGGGGACATGGCCTGGCTCCATTGCCCACAGGTGCGGCCAGGTACCTCTCCTAAATTACATAAACCATGGCAAGGGCCGGTTCGCCTCATCGAGGTTCCCAACCCACAGTCTGCGCGTGTTCGGTTTGGATCTCGGCGTTGGTTCGTTCACACGTCGCGCTTGAAGCCATATGTTGCCCCTCTATGGCGTCATCTCCTGATGTTGCCTTGCCGGGGTCTGTTGCTGCCGACTCACCCTTGCCTGTGTCCGTTGATCTTGCAAGAGCGCCTGTCGTGCCTGTTACAGACAGACCGGCCGTGACACTGCAGGGGACGAGGGGCTCTGCTCGGGGGGTGCCTGCCAGGACTGCGGGAACTCCGAGCCCTGCAGCCCTTCCGACCCCGATGCGAGCACAATCGCGGGACACCTCCGAGGCTGAGCCTTCGGGATACGGGACCGGGACGTTGGCGGGCCTCCAATGGCGACAGGAGGACTTCCTCCTGTCGCTCCTAAAACCCCGTCACGTTCCCGCTCTGCGGGAGGGCCGCCGACCATCCGGGACGGGCCGGCGACCCGCACACGTTCAAAATCCCTTACATTTCGTTGATTGTTAGTGTTGTGTTCTTGTTCTTACTGTTATATTTAGTGTATGCTTCGTGTCCTTTAGTGTGTCTCGGTCGTGTTCGCTCGCATTACTTGTTGGAGTTGTTGTTCAGCCGAGGTCGGCTGGATTTTTCTCTACGGGGGAGGGTGGTGTAATGCGGCATAAACGACCTTCCGGATGTGACGTCACGGGGGGAGGAGTTACGTCACGTGGGGGAGAGGGTTCAGGTCTTAAAGGGGAGAAACCAGAAGAGAAGGGAGGTTGTTGGAGACTGGAGTAGAGTAAGGCCACGCAAGGCGGAGGTTGGTGGGGTGGCGAGATCGCCACACACACACAGAGTAAGGATCGGCACCGTCGGCCAGCGGTGACCGACCCCGAGAAGCGGGGAGCAGCGGTGAGGCTGCAGCAGCAGCGGGACTGCTACGGAACAGGGGAGCAGCGGTGGGGCTGCAGTGAGGGCGGCCGGGGAGACCGCACAAGGAGATCAGCAGCGGGGCTGCTACGGAACAGAGAAAGGCTACGGGAGCGACGGCAGCCTCGGGTTGCCAAGCGGAGGGTCTCTGAAAGAGAGCCATGTGGTAAAAGTATACGAACCCGAATAAAGGACATCAAGACAGATACAGTGGTCGAGTCCTTTATTACACAACTATTACATTCTCACGACGTTTCGATTGCAACACAAGCAATCGTCATCAGGTGTGAAAACCACGGCAAGAAAATTAGAAAAAAGTGGCGTTTTTTCTTAACGTCAGCACCACGGACAGCAACTGGTGGTTGTTCAGACGGACGAATCCATCTAGTCACGTTCACGCTAACGGTGCCTTTCAGACCGCACTCCGTTACACTCATAATCAGTTAGTCACGTTCACGCTGACGGTGACTTTCAGACCGCCAGTCGCTGTCCGCGGTGCTGACGTTAAGAAAAAAAAACGCCACTTTTTTCCAATTTTCTTGCCGTGGTTTTCACACCTGATGACGATTGCTTGTGTTGCAATCGAAACGTCGTGAGAATGTAATAGTTGTATTTTGATTATTTAATTATTTCCCTTCTACGTGACTTTTCCGAAAGAACCAAGAATATGAATCCCTGCAGTCACGAAATCTTAAATCGAAAAACTATACTGACACACGACACTCGATACTACGGAATAGGGAGAGAGAGAAATGGATGGACTGGCCCAGCCACCTCTCTGCATCTGGGCGGTGGAGTGCCACTCACGTGGCCACGGTCGCCTTCCGTGTTTCTCGCGGTGGCGTGGGGGAGGTGGGGGGTTCATCCCTGCAGCGTGGTGTGGTGGGGGGGGGGGTGGTGGGGGTGGGGTGGGGGGTGGTGGAGGGTGGTGGGGGGGGGGGGGTGGGGGGTGGGGTGGGGTGGGGTGGGGGGGTGGGGGGGGGGGTGGGGGGTGGGGTGGGGGGGGGGGGGGGTGGGGGGGGGGGGGGGGGGGGGGGGGGGGTGGGGGGGGGTGGGGGGGGTGGGGGGTGTGGGGGTGGTGGGGGGGGGGGGGGGGGGTGGGGGGTGGGGGTGGGGGGTATGGTGGGTGGGGGGGGTGGTGGGGGAGGGGGGTGGGGGGGGGGGGGGGGGGGGGGGGTGGGGGGGTGGGGGGGTGGAGGTGTGGGGGGGGGTGGGGGTGGGGGGGGGTGGTGGGGGGGGGTGGTGGGGTGGTGGTGGGGGGTGGGGGGAGGGTGGGGGGTGGGGGTGGTGGGGGGGGTGGGGGGGGTGGGGGGGGGTGGGGGGTGGGTGGTGGGGGGGGGGTGGGGGGGTGGGGTGGGGGGGGGGTGGTGGGGGGGGGGGGGGGGGGTAGGCCACAGCGGCGGCTCGTCACACAGACAACCCCGCCGACATCCGCCCGACGTCGCCCGGCGCCCACGAGTGCGGCGCGGGGAGGCGAACGTGGCGACTCACGTGGGCCACCGGGGCTTGCGCCGTCGGCGGTAGAAGAGCGTGCCGCCAGGGCGAGGGACACAGCGAGGATCGCGGCCGGGACAACCCAGCTTGCCCATTCCGCGCCGCCGCCGGCTTCTCTGCGTGGCGCAACGATCCCCGTGTGACGTTAGCGTGCTGCTGTAGCACGACGACAACAACAACCACGACAACCACCGCGACAACAACCACCGCGACAACCAACAGCGCCAGCTAGGTGCACTTTGAGGCTCGTGCTGCTTGCGCCCAGGCGTTCGGATTGAGGGAGTGAGATGAGGGCAGGCAAAGACAAAGTTTGCCCGTAAAGCCCCTAGCAAGACTGTTGGGGCCAAGTGCTGTGAGCGAGTGTCGGCAACTATGAAGGACGGGAATGTGCCTCCAACTCCTCCTCTGAGCTGAGCAGCAATCACCAGATCATCAGCATACATAACGTGGTTGAGCAATAGGGAGCCGTTGCTTGACCGCAACCGGGCAACGATCATCCTCCCATTGTATAAAAATTCCTCCGGTAGAGCTATTGAAGTCTTCACAAACTACGTGGCCGAATTAGATGTTAAATGATGTGGGAGCCAAGAGGATATCCCTGTCGCACCCCAAGTTGTACAGGGAATGGCTCTGACTCCCGGCCATGTAGTTTTACCGGGCCCGCTCACCATCATGAAGGTCCTTAATGAGCGTGAGCAGAGGGTCAGAGACTCCGAAAGCACGAAGAACAACCCAGAGCCCAGGCCTACTGATGGTATTATAGGCCTTGACCAGGTCAATAAAGCAGAGATGTAGGTCTTGTTGGAATTCCCTACACCTCTGCTGTAACAGACGGACAGAAAATATGGCATCTGTGCAGGACCGCCCTTTCCGAAACCGCATTGGGGTTCCGCAAGCCTCTCCTCAGTGTGCCTAGCAGGCGATGTTGAATAATCCTTGCCAGGACCTTTCCCGGTACACTGAGGAGTGAGATACCCCTGTAGTTGTTACAGTCTGTGCGGTCCCCCTTCTTAAAGAGGGGACCACCAGGGCATCTTTCCAATCCTGCGGAACCCGTCCAGTGGTCCAGACTGTTGTTATGATGTCATGTTGGGCAGTCTGTGCACAAACGCCACCCTCCCTCAGCATTTTGCTTGGGAGATCATCTCTTCCCGGTGCCTTTCCTGTCTCAGGCTCTGGATCGCCTTCAGTACTTCCTCAACAGATGGTACCTCAGCCAACCACTCACAGGGGGTGACTTCTTATTCCAATATTTGAGGCACCGCAGCCTAAACAGGGTCATCCCCACTTTTGCCACTTTGTTTTCCAGGCTGAGGGATTTTCCCTCCCCCAGAACCTCACAGAAATGCTTAGCAAATCAGCAAACCTGTCCTGGGAATCAGAGATTGGATCACCGTTCTTTCCCCTAATGGTGTGGCGCTGCAGGTTTCATTTTTTTAATGGAATTAAAGAGCGATTTGTGATCGCGGGCCATTGTAGCAGACTACATCTCTTCAGAAACCCGTAACCATCCATCCTTGCAGCGCCTCACGGCTCTCCAAACCTCCGAGCGAAGGCTGCTGTAAGCCTCCTCATTTCTCCGACATGTGATTGCTGTAGCCAATGAAAATAGGCTGTCGCTTTTTCTCAGCCAGCCTGAACACCTTCTCTGTCAGCCAGAGTCTTTGGGGGACCGTGTACCAAAAGCAGCCATTGCAGCTGCATGAGCACAGTCCTAAACCTCGCCCATTTCCCCTCGACATCAGGAGTCAGGGACATTGCCAACCACAGCCGCAAGCGATGATTAAATTCTCGCTTGCAACTTTCATCAGCGAGCTGAGACCATGTCACTATGGGTTTGAATGGGGTCCTGGGTGGTGGGTGTATACCCACCACCAGAGTGTAAGAATGGCAGGCACATCGTACAGATGACAAGTCGATGGTCAGTGGGCAGATTAGCTCCACGGTAGGTTCTGGTGTCAAGGACATGGGCCCGCATCGACTGTTCCGTCACTATGTAGTCCAGCAGATGTTCTTGCTTGGACCAGGCATGCATCCAAGTCCATGGGCTGCACAAAAATCGAGCAGCCCCCTTGCCGTTGTTATTGAGCTGATTTGGCCCATGCCTTTCAATCACTCCAGACCAGGTGCCAGCATCATGACCAACTCGGGCACTGAAGTCACCCAACAGGATGACTCTATCCCGAGGGGCCATTTTAGCTAGCACCTGTGGCAGGAGGTCATATAAGGCATCTGACTCATGGGCCTTGCCTGCTTCCCTCCATGGATGTTCGTCTTCGGTGGGGGCATAAGTAACCACGACCACCAATTCTCGCCTCTGGTTGATGGGAAGGCGAGCCCAAAGTAGCCTGTGCTTACAGCTTCCCACAACTCACCGCCACACTCACACGCCCCCTTCATTATTTTGTTCAGAAGAAGAGCCATTCCCTGTTGTTTGGCAGCCTCCTGCCCCAAGTAGAGGACTTTCCACCCCTCATGGTGGCAGGAGCCAGAGCCGGTCGACCAGACCTCCTGAATACCACAAAGATCCAGACGGTACCGGTCCAGCTCCCTACAGAGAAGTGGTAGCCTCTCCTCTGCAATGAGCGTTCGAACATTCCACGTGGCCACAGGCAGTGGTTTTTTGTTGTTTCTGGATGAGCCCTGAGGGTAGGATTCAGTCTCCTGGCTCCGCCAAATGGGGTTTGGCCAGGAGACGTCCTAGACGCCTGCCCCCCCCCCCCCGGGGCCTCCGGCACAAGCTTAATAAAAAATTTCACTCGCAGTTTAGTGGTAGATAGTTGAAGGTGGGGGGGTTACCAGCCACTCGCACCCGTCCAGAGTCCCCATTTGGCCGCTGTGCTGGTTACCAACGCCATGAAGGGAAGGCAATCTAAAATTGCCCCTCCCCCCACGGCACTGCCCACCACAGCGTTGCCGTCCGAGGAGGTA